TATATTTTTTTCCATTATTTCAAATTTTTTAAGTTTCATTCATCTGCATACTAGTCCTGATATTTTTAAACATGACAAGAAAGACTTAACAGTGAGTAACATATACATATACTACTATATTACTTCTTATATTGACTTATGAAAATTATAATGAATTATATAAAAAATGCAAGGCTTTAAAAATCAGATCGATCATTAAACTAGACTAACCACTGGTTCACGGTTCATTAGTTCAATCATGATTGAACCATGATTAATATTAAATTAATATATTTTTAATTTATGTATCATAATTTAATAAAAATTATATGAAAAAAATTATATTTTTCAAAAATATATATTAATAAATGCTTGATAAAATAATATATTGTTGATAAATATATGATTAATATTAATTATTCTTGATTGTTCTTTGTTTTAATTATTTTTTAAATTATTTTTTTAAATTTTTAAATAATTCAAACAAGTTTTTAAGGGAACCAATCTGGTTTTCAATTTTTTTTTCTATTTTGATCGGCTTTTTTAATCATTGACCAATTCTTCTGTGGTCAATTTTGAGATATCAACCGAACTGGATTAAAAGTTGATTCTCGATTCAATTGATTGAACTGATCGATTTGGTTTGATTTTTAAAACACTGAAAAAATAAATAGAAATAGGATTTTAAATCAAAATCTTTTTCTTAAAGTACACAATGGATGAAACATTAAAAAGGAAGAAGACATGAGGGTTAGGACAAATGAACAAAAAGATTAGTGATTATTTTTCTCATTCAATGTCCAACTCATCATAATTTTATCAATTCAGCAATGAAGTTAATAAAATTATTTACATATTAACATATTTAATTTTTTCAATAACAATAAGAACTAACATTACATATTAATAAAATTTAAATAACTTGGAACAACAACAAAAAGTATAAAAACCAGTACCAAAACTCAGTAAAATAATTATAGTTTTGTATTCTTTAGGGGCAATTGGTGCACAGCTTTGTGTGTGCTGTAATTTGTGTGAATGATTGCAATGGGAGCATGAGAATGGACCTACATGAAGCATTGTCCTCTAAAGGAAAACCCTTCTCTCTGCCAAAACTCCATGTACATCACCACACATTGCATCTGGATGTTTCATATTAGATTTCTATTATTCAAATTTTATTAATTTAGTTCTGCATACAAAATTTTGGATCTCCTAAATTTGTACAAATGATGAAAAGTGCCCCTTTTTTTCATGCCGGCTGATAAAAAAGTTCCATTTTCATAAAGACATAATATGATACTCTCTGTATTCTATTTTATAAGATATTTTTAAAGATAATTTGATATTCCAAAATATAATATAATTTTTAAAAAATAAAGATTTATTATTGATGATTATTCAATATCATCCATCATTATTTTATTCCTTAAATACATTTCTTTTATTCTCTCTCTTTCTCTCATTAATGAATAGTATTTTTTTAAAAATTAAGATGGTAAACTATATTTAATAAATTTCATTAATATATGTAATGTTGTGAAAAAAAAAACCCTTATTTTGAGAAAGATTAGATGAGTGTCATACAAAAATGTATGCATAGAAATTATCCAATTTTTATCAGGAAAAAAATAAAATAAATAATCCAATTTAATTTCCACCGTTACACCCTTTTCAAGGGATTTTTTTTTTAAATGAGAAATCTTTTTCAATTAATGATTGCCTTTTGCTGGCTCTTCTTTTTTTGGGGTCCTTTTTGGCATGCTCTGTTGTTGGCTGCTTCAATGTTATGTAGCATGAGCCTGATTGCTAGAGACAATTTTAGCTCTATTTGTTTGTGTAAGGTTGTCACCGATTTGCTCATTTCCCTTTGACTTTATAAAGACATGTCTTCAATTCAAATCTTTCTAGTGATACAATGATCTTATGGGTAGTTTCTATTTTATGTTTGGATCCAATCCATTATTTAAATACATAAAATTTTATGTATTTAATTCAAATCTAAATCTAAGCAAATGTTTTATTACAATTTCTTTAAAATTTTAAATATACTTAATCTACTTTAATTATTTCAAATTCCAATAATCGACTTTGAGTACCATCAAAACATGTGGATATTTCATTATTGATGTGGATTTCCAACATTGTCCAAACATAAAAATTTACATGTTAAATTTTAAATCAAAAATTCAAAATCATCTATCTAAACATCTTCTAAATTTCTTTTCCAACCATTACCATTGCACAGCAAAGTAACAGACTAAATTTTAAACCGAAAAAGATGTCACCATTTTCAATCAGAGAGGATTCAGATTCTAATATTCCAAATATTTAACCTTCAATAATATGATAATATCTCTGAATGTTAGGTGCCAACTAAAGATCAGTTTCTCTACAAGTGAATTCCCAAAATCCGAGATCAAAGGAGCACTAATCTCTTGACAAACCAACTCACTCTTTTTCATTACTTTATTATATCGCCTTTGGTGTTCAAATCACCAATAATGACGCTTTATTTATTTAATTCATTCATTCATTCACCTTTTATTTCACAATGATATCTCCTGCACCACCTTTCAGTGCTTTTAGGGTTCATCTTTTCATGTTGTTTTCGTCGTTATCTGTATTCCTTCCATGTTACAATTTTATCAGAACATGACATCTCATGGAGAAATCATGAGCATACCATTCACTTGCTCCAAAAACCTATCAGTTGTGAGATTAATTATGAATCCAAGCAATCATTCATCAATGAAAGGTGACTCTATTTTAGCAATATGATTACATAGTTTTGTCATCTTCTGAGAAAATTAAGATGATCGATTCTTTTGAGAAAGATCAACTCCTAAACGTGCACTGGGATCTTCATGAACACTGGTGTTTTGTTTCCCCTGTTCTTCCTCATAATTTTACTTACTTTGTTTACTCTAATCTGCATTACCCGTGTCTTTAAACTTAATCATCTTAAGAGACATGAATTGATCCTTCCTTCATCATCAGATTAGATAATTTGAGAAAACGAGATAGATCCCTCAAAGATTTTAACCTAGCTGACAGTAGGAGGCTAAGGCTAATGCAGGCTCTAAAATTTTGAAAAGGGATCTGATTGTCTAACCATCCAGCTCGTTCCTGGTTAGGTTAATTTAAAATGATATCAGATTCAGACTGTGGTAGGATGATCAGAAACCAGTTGAGACCACAAGAGAAAGCAGAGGATGTATTAGATGTTTCAACAAGTTTTTACTCTCAACTTACCATGCATCTTTCTTTGGGGTCTTAAAGACACAGCATATCAGTTATATAGCTATACAGCAAGATCAAGAAAGTTTGTATGGCTTTATCAATAATACAATGATTTTGTCAAATATTTGGAGTGATTATTGTGAAAAGTTCAGCTCAATTTTGCATTGCCTAATCTGAAAGACAGTTTTCTTGTTCTCTTTAAGAAATCACGCTAACTCAATCATTGCCAGGATGTCTCCTATTGGTTCAAGGATTCAGAATTGGGTCCTTCACATCCCACAACAACAAGGGAAGAAGCAAATTGTATCAAAATGGCAAAATGTTGAGATTGAATCTGTCGTCCAATACAATATCACCGCAGCATGAAGTGAATTTGGAAGAAAGACCAAGACTTGTTAGATTTAGATAACTGAAGTGAGATAGATCCTCAACTGATTTTCAACGTGGATGATAATGCGAGGCTACGGAAAAGCACAAAACCGTGAAACGAAGTTAGCATTAATTTCAATATTCTAAGAAGCCAAAAATGGATGTTATCTTGTCCAAGGCATAAAAAGAGACTGCATAAATCCGGTTCAATGCAAGCTGCAGAAACGATCCAAACTGCCCAAATATGCACATAAAATCAAAAGGAGATAGAACAAGGGAAGTACCAGAAAAAGGATACATCTAAAGTCATATATCCAAGCTACTATATCCAAACCCAATTTGTTTGTATCAGATAGTTTTCACTTGTAACTCTTAAGAGAACGCAAGACAAACGAGGCTGAAAATAACTAGAAAACTTGACTCGCGGGCGCAAATGCAACATAAAACTACGGGAACTGACGGTCATAGTACAACACTAAACCGAAGCCCAAATTCTTTCAATGACTACTAAAATATTGGAGCTTCAAAATTTTAACTGGACTTGGCGGGGTGCGCCTGGCCCGTGCAGCAGTGCAACGCATGGGCGACGCTTGAGGATGCCAGTAGCAAGCTACCGTAATGCACCCTCCCCCTAGAAAAATTAATTTAATATCATGTGGGCCGATGGCCCACGTATCAGATATTAAACTGATAAGAACAGATACTACACTTGATCTTAGCCAAAAGGCCGAGAAAGGTATGCTTGTGTATGTGTCTCTGCTTGGCTTTTATAGTTGCTCTTTGCTTAGAGGCTCTGCTAACTCAGCGATGTGGGACTTCTAAGGAATCGCCAGCAGCATGAGAAACAAACCATCACGAAACCTCCAGGGTGAGTAATAACTAAAAACCCGGATGAGAAGAGACCAGAGTGAAAACCAAAGAAAGAGGGATCACAGATCCTCGTTACTTTGGTTATGATTATGATGAACACAGACCCACTTTACTTTGAAGTTGCAATTGGCTGGAATATGCTATGCGGGTATATTCAACTAATGTGCGGGAACTACGGGCTTTGTCATGTCTGTCTTTTCCCTTAATTTAGAGCCTTGAACCAACATCCAAGATCTTCAACTGCAAATGAAAATCTGTTATGAAAATATATATTCTGGTGGATTAACTGGAGCAACGAAATGGACTCAGCTAGATACAGTAGGCTTAAAGGATATTCATTAGAACCTGATTTTTGGACATGCTGGCAGAAAGGCTATGATCCCAAGGTGCAAGTATGTAAATCACACTTGGGATGTTTGAATTTGAGTTTATATAAAGCTATCAAGAACTGGAGGCTGTAGATTCACAAGCCTCAACATTCTTAAACTAGAGTTGCTGGGACTGGCAGACGCACAGATGAAGCAAGGAACAATACAATAAAAACATAACCATATATCTCTTTACATTAGCAACTCTTTTCCTCTTCAAAGGAAAAATTATTTGTGATGTAAGTCATACGATCGGTGAAGCGAGAAACATCACCTTGACTACCAAGTCTGACCAGTAATAATAATAATCAGGTACAAATGGGGCATATGACTAATCCATTTTCATTACAGTTAGTGCACCTAATAACAACCATCCTCCCCTGTTTCTTCTGACCCGTCTCTTCATTCATCACCATCACCACCCTCTTGGAGCTCCCATTACACTTGTCACAAGGCAAAAACCTCATATCCCCACAACCCCCACAAACTGCCCCAGCTTTCTTTCTGGGCAGACCTTCTAGAAGCTTCCCTAGTAAACCTTCCTCCACTATCCTCAGTAGCTCTTCAACCCCACCAATGTAGCTTCCCTTCACGAACACTCTTGGAGGCACAATCGCCTCCTTCTCCTCCTTCCCCTTGAGTAATTCCCTTAGCTCCTCTTTAAACCCTCGATCCATGGACACGTCTCGCTCGCAGATTTGGACTCCAAAGCCCTCTATCGCAGCCCTCACAGCATTGCAAGCTTCGAAGGTCTTCCGAACGCCTCTCAACGTCGTCGTGTAGATCACCACTCTGTTTTCCCCATTGGGCGGGCATATTCTCTCAAACCGGTCCAGCACTGGCTTGATCGAATCGGATTTTACACAAAACCTGGATTCATGTTGAAGATTGAACTGGTTTCGATTTGGGTTCGAGTTCTCCTTATCAAAGATTGAATCTTTGATGGGGAAGGGTTTGGGTGGAGGCAGAGGAGAGAAGCGGAAACTGTCCGTGTCGAGACCTGCCATGAGCTCCCAGGAGTTGATGACCTCCGGTTCGGACCAGAGGGGCTTGGGTTCGCGAAGTGGGTTGGGGAAGATGGAGCCTAGGGTGAAGCGAGTGGGAGGGGTGGTCGGAGATTGAGGAGGAGGGTCGAGGTTGAGGAGCCCATAGGTGGTGGAGGTGAGGGAGACGATGTGGTGGCCGAGAGCGGAAGAACCGAGTTGAGGAAACTCGTCGTTGTGGTTGATTAAATTGGAAGAGACACAACCCATGGCTGTAATCCTGTGAAGTTTGAAGCTTGTGATTCGGTGAGGATTTGGATTTGAATTTTGGGAGAAGGGAAGAGAGTGCAGACAACGAGGGTGAGGACAACAATGGTGAGAACTGAAGCTGTGAGAATGACTGTTTAAATTTGAAATTCTTTTGTTGCACTTTATTGTTATTTCTCGTCTTTTGATTCTTGCCGTGTTCCATTTTTCAAAAGCCATGGGCCCCAAGCATTTAAGCGCTAAAATATAGTAATTCAAACTGAAATAAAAGTATAGCCTGTTATTCAATTGGATCAAGTTATTATTTGCTTACATGCTTTTGTTTTTGGGAAAATCCGATAGTCTGATACTGTCTTATAACGAGCTAAGGAGACTTAAACGAGAGTTGGAACAATTCATGTCAATTGTCAAACCAACGGAAGATCCTTTTAGACAAAAACTCTATTATCAATGTTAATACACTTCTGAATCTCAAACTCAATATTTCTAATTAAACTGTTATAACTCGATATTTTTCCATCTCTTTTTTTAAAGAGGATTTGGTCATCATTTACATGTTTTTTTTTTGTGTTGAATATTCGGTATCTTGAGTTTACATATCGTGTTGAGAAGACTTAATACAAGTTTAGACTAATTTGAATCCAAACAAAAACTTTCCATCAACACTAATGTATCATTAAGGCTCAAATTCAAAATCTCTTGTTAAACTGGTATAATTTCCTTAATGCGAGGTGGATATTTATTTACATTCTTTTTCCCTTGTTCGAAGTCCATTAAATTGGTTGCACACATTGTAAAAAAAAAAAGAAAAAAAAAAAGAACCTAGGCTAATAGCAAAACCTAGAAATTAAATTGTAGTTATTTTTTTTAGCCATCACCAGGTGACTTGTATCTAGTTATAGGGAAAAAGTTTGCAAAATCTTCCTTCTTGTATACGTTAAAGTGACAAAAATCTATGACAATGTTTTTCAATATCTTAATTTCCTTCCTTTGTTTTTTTTTTTTTGGGGGTTGTGATATGATATCCTGACTTTTTATATTTTTTCTTTGTTGAAATTCACAATAATAAAGTGTATTATATCTGGATCTCATAGATACAAGTAAAATTATTGTACACTATCCTAACATTAATTTGCATTGATTGTAAACTTCCTTATTAGACTTTTAGCTTTGAATAAAACCAGAAACTTGCCCTCAGAAAACCAAGTACAAGGTTTTTCATGAGGTGCATAGACACTACACAGCACACTGAATCTAGACATTTTTACAACCTTTCATTAATAATTCAGATCTCAAATAATAAAACCAAGTCATGTTTGTTAAAACACATTCATACCTTGTGGGGTCTGAATATTGGAAATTCAAAGCATCCAAATCCAAAAAAATGAATGAGAATCCAAGAAAGTAATATAGAAGATCATCTTTAATTAATTGCCAAATCTCACCAACCTGGAGACAGCTTCAGGCCTCACCTATATAAGCTGGACAACACTAACCCATCAGACATCACAGAAGCTGGTAGCAGAAATTAAGAATGAAGTGTTTGAAACAGTTCTGATTCTGAGGAATGCTGATCACTGACCTGATGGAGGTCGCTTAGGTGCAGCTCGGGGATTTGTTTTTCTCTATGCAAGCATGTATGTATGTTCCTGCTTTCTTTTGGCATTGGCCAGAAAAACGAATTCCCGAACTGCCCCAAGCAACCTTAGTCGATTGGTGTTATAAAATTCGAGGTTTGGCTAGATTTCATCACCTGATCCCCAAACATATCCCATGTGGTGTGTGGTTGGATGTTGGAAGGCAAGTGAAGGAAAGGAATCTGAAACAAGAGGGAAAGGGATGGGTACATGATAACTTGTCTCTGACATTCTGAATTACAGTTTGGAAAATTTTAAACTAACAATCAGTAATGAATTTCTCTCTGATGTTGCTCTCTCTTTTTGTTGTTAACATGCAGAGTCTCGCAGCATAAAGCAGGTCCATATATAAACCAATCAAAGGGCATGAATAGTAGAGGTTCTCATTATTTAAGAAAATAGTCGGAGTTCAAATCTCATTCTTTATGTATGTAACACTTTTATTAAAAAAAGTCTATCATTTTTCTCAGTATTTCGAAAAAGACAACCATTGTTGTTGGTAGAGCCTACTCAAATAAAAAAAAATTAAAAGTTTCTATATTCAACCAAAGTTCATGCGACCATCAACTTTTGAAAATCATTTGTAATTCCTTATGAATTGAATTGGTTCCATTTGTGGGCTTATATGTGTTGCGTGTGTTTGGACTCTCTAGGCATTTTGGCTTTCTGAAGAGCACTATATATGGTTCTTTGTAATTTGTTGCTACCAGTTGATGTGGATGTTTTGTCTTTGTTATATAAATAATAATGGATATTGGATGTTGTTGGATTCTTCTTTTACGTTCCTCAGTCAAGATTCTTTGTGATTTGTATAACACAATGGAGATTAATGCACTTGGAATTGGATATAATTTTTCTCAGTCCAAATGTGTAGAGCTAAAAATAATTTGCTTCCAATCAAATTGATTCAAAAGCCAAATTAAAGTATGCCTGATTTGATTGGACATAATTTTAACTCGAGAAGTTGTCAAGTTGTAATGAAAATTTAAATATGTTTGGTGTGTTGAAATGAATATTAAAAAAAAAACATAATCAAGAATGAGAATAAGAATTAAAAATGAAAAGTAATGTTTGATATGTATGAAAAAGGATAATGGCGGTACTATGACTTTCTGTTTGTTGGATCTGTTTCTTTCCTTCCCCATCATTCTCACTCAGATTGGTTTTCTCTCCTACTGCTCCTTCATTTTAAATCTGAATTGTTCAAATTAAATTTTAATGATTCAAATCATTCTATACTTTTAAAAACTATCAAATCTGAATTATCAAATTCAATTTAAGAGTGCAAATTTAAAAGAAAGCCAACTCCCATTCCTATGAATGCGATGATCTCCATTTACCTAGAGCCATTAATATAGTCAATTTGGTATATCCAAGCTTTTGAGCTTAAGCCTTTAAGTACTAGAATAAAAATCGGACCAATTTGTATTGACAACTCTACATGCCATCCACATCATGCAATATTCCTTAAATAAAAGAAATGAAGATTACATATTTGCATTCATCGTTATTCAATTTTTATTGTTTTCGTCCTAATAATTTTAAAAAATAAACAAAAAAACTGGAAATAAATATTTTTGAGATGTTTGTTAGGTGAAAACTTAATAGTAGATCTTTTAATATAATTTTTTCCGTTTGTTAGTTTGTGGTGGCAGCTTTTCAAGGACAATAGTACTTTTGTTTGTGTTATAAAAAAAAAGTCTTTTGTTAATAAAAATTTTTTGGAACATGCATATAATTTCATTTGCTCAGGCATTACATAATTGATTTTATTTAAAATATTTTTATTGATGCATTTTTATATGAAAGTACAATATTAAACAAGAAAAATACAGAATGGGTAGGCCTATTCAAACATAATTGGATATCACACCTCTAATAAATTAATTAGACAGTGTTTTAATGTAAAGAGAATATACAAGTCCTATCAGTTAAAATCATCAATATTGTTTAAAAGACAGAAAGCTTCAAGGACCGCCCCTCTCTGCTATTTCATAATAATTTATGATTTGAATACATTGCTTCTCCATTTTCAAACATAGATAGTCAAGTACAAGATGTTCATAATGGAGTCCCTAAAATCAGGTTCTGGAGGGGAAAAAACACAATATTTTAAAAACAGTACTTCAAACAACTATGCACAAAATTATTTTCTTCTATTTGCAAACAGAGGGGGGGGCATATGATTAATGCCTCTGAACCCTTACAAAATTGTATCAAAATAAACAGTTTTGCTCTAAGCATGAACTGGCAATCCCTCTCCTTCCTCATCATTCACCTCTTCAATAGGCTCATCCTGTAACCAAGAAAAGATGACAGCATTAACACTGAAGAAAATGTATTCCATTGCTATAAATTTATATATCAAACATCAGGGATCATTTGAAAGCATGGGTCTGTTGATTATAGTCTGACTAAAACATGCTTTAACTGTTACAGATAAACCAAAACAATGAATGGAAGCATCTTTCCTGGGAAAATAATGCAGATAAAAAGGATAAGGAGGAAGAGGGAGCTTTGAGAGCTTTGTGTCATAATGACAGGAACCAACATCCCTTACTAGTTTATATGAGGAAAAGACATGGCAGTCCCACTTCTGATGAAGATTCAGTTTAGGATTTAAATGATTTTAATGTTATAATATTAATGTTTTAAGTTTTATGACCATTGTTAAGTGTCTCATGTTAGTTATTGTGGTTTCACATATCTCGGACGATACTTGCTTTCCTTTAATGTATCAGACTATAAATATCCTATTATGCAATCTGTCAAGCGTATGAGTGAAGTATTATTCAGTAATTCTTGGTGATTCTTCTACTTCAAACAATTAGATTCTAATTCCAGAAGTTTTCCTCTGCCTCTGCCCTATTCTTTTCCTCTTTCTTTCTCTACTGTTTAACCTTTCTCTTTCAAGTTTCTACCACACCATCTACATGATTTGGGATACCATGAAATTGTAAAGCAACTGTCAAGATAGCTCTGTGATCTCACTTACTATAACTGACAGAGTAGGACTTGTTAACTTCCTAACAATTTCAAAACTCAGGCTTATACCAATCCATTTCATCTAACATAAGAGCAAAAAACTGTGGCCAACACACACACACACACACACAAGGGCAGATAACATGGTCAAAAAGAGCCATGAATTCGAGAAAAGAGAGTTCATTACCTCTAGACCGTTACTTGGCTTCTCACCTACACATTTGGAAGCACTGATGCTGGCACTCTTCAACAGGCTACGTGTACCTTGGTCTGGCTTGGAGGGTCCATTTTGTGCAGCTTCAGTCCCATCAGGACTGTGAAGAGTTGTTGCTACAGCTGCATTGGTTCGCCTTTCAAAGTCATTGTCTCGACCAGCTTCATCCTTCAGAGCAGGCACTCGTTCTCTAGAAAAGTGATATTCCATACTCAATCCTATATGCATGACTCCAAAAGCCTATCGATTCACAAGGTTTGAATCAAGAAAATACAACTAATTTTTGCAACCAAGCCTCACCTAGGCAAAGAGGCATGCTGTCTCTGCAAAGGAGTGCTTCGTTCACCTTTGCCGTAGTGCTCCTCAAGATGTGCAAACTGTCGCTTGAACCGATCAACCCCACTACACAGTAAGATAGCATTAAAATATTGACTAATAAACCCAAGCTAAAATTTACATTACAATAACTTTACTGCACATCAAAGTTCCCAGATGGCATGCAAAATTTAAAAAGGAATGAAGAATGATGACTTCCTTGAACTTCACTGAAATTACACAAACTTGTAAAAACAGAAGGTAAATTATAAAAAACTAGTGAATGTTCCCAAAATTAGACAAACATCTCTTTTATTTTTAAAACCTACACAAATTTTCCCAAAAACAAAGAATCAATTACGGATTTTCTCTAAGTTTTTTCTTTTCCTTTTAGTTACATGCCTTTTCCATGTTTTGCTGATTTCTATTTTCAGAAAAAGTTTGTGTATATCTTGTAAGTAGGATCTTTGTAGTTTCACACGACAGGGGGAGAAAGGCTCACAGAGCTCTGAAATTTAGTATTTGTTTAAGGGGTAGTTTTTTTTTTTTTAATAGAAAGAAATTGTGTAATTTGAACAAAATTCAGGAAAAGCTGCATTCATTTTGAATATACTACATATCCAAAAAAAAAATTCAAAAAAGGTCTATGTAATTCATTTCAAAAATAAATTAAACATCATCAGTATATTCTCAAAAGTCAATTCTTCAACAAGTAAATGGGACTAGCATAAACATAAACAAAAATTTTGAAGGAACTAGATTTTACAGCAGGAGCAAATAAAACACATGCCAGTTCTCAGAAATGAAATAAAATTTTGCGAAAAAAATAACAAAAAGCAAACAAAAATTTGATGAAACAATGATAAATGCATACAAGGCATTGATTCTCCCTATATGTCATGATTTAAGTTTCGTGAAAAGCATTGTAAAAGTTTTCTGAGCATCTCAATTCATTTAGCTTCACCATGCCCGATGGCAGGAGAGACATCTGCTCTCTGCCTGTCTGCTTTAATATACACATCATGCCATCAATGAAATGTCAAGCATATGAGCAAATCAAATAAAAAAATCATTATATTGAATTGCAATATGGGTCGGACCTTCTTAATAGTAACGGAACCTTGAGTCTCTGTATCAGAAAATGCAACCATGCCTAAAAAGATGTTTTTCTAACGTAAGGGCCTCTTCATGCACTGAAGTTCAGAACAACCTAACTAGGCCACACACACGCACATATTTATCCATGGTGTTTTTCAGATTAAAGAGATAAATCCCTGATATGAATAAAACATGCAACCATGCACTGAGGAGCTAGTTTTTAGAAAATCCTTAAATGCAGCATTAAATAAGCGTGTAGATGTCATAAATTAAGCAACTTTAAAATATTGTAGCAAACACTGGTAGACAACATCACATGACAAAGCAAATATAATTAATTTAATGGTGTAGAAGGCAACAATCTATGGAGTTTGATCAAGGCCATAATTTTCATCGTATCTCTTGAGTAAGATATTTAACAAATCATTAATCAACGTATGCTTGGAGTCAGACATTTTAAAATCAATAATGTAGACAAAGATAGTTTCAGATTCTCAGCATTTACGTTACTGCTTTACCTTGGATACATGAAGCTGGTCTGATCTCCACCACGCAGATATTCCTGAAGCATTTGAGGATGATACTCTAGAATCTGTTTACTTCAAATGTAGCATTGATTATTACCAAAGCACAAAGGAGAGACTATCAAAGCAACATTCATCAACTATATGGCTGTACCTCCGATAAATCAACTCTCTAACGTCCTCTTTAGTCAATTTTCTTCTCTCAAACTCAAACTCAAGTTTTGAAATGGGTTGAGGAGATGCAGGTTCACGCTCAACGTTCGCCAAACCGCGGAAATAAGGATCACTTAATGCCTGCAATCACAAGCATAAAGAAAGAAGTATACATTATGGAACAAGAGAATTACCTCTGGATACCAATCTCAAAGCATTTTCACTCAACAAAACTTCAACTTTGGTAATCACTAGTTGCTATATATCTAGGTAACTGAAGATCAACCTCTTCAGCGGAAGGACGATCTTTAGGATCAAATGCAAGTAGGCGTTCCAGTAGACGAAGGGCCAATGGATCTGCATAAGGAAACTTTTGAGAAAGTGGAACTGATTGCTTTTTCCGCATGTTACTAAGGTACCTTCTAGCCTTCTCATTACGAATCTGTGATATTAAGAATTGTTCAGAGAAACACGACAAAAAAAAAGGTAAAAATTAGATATAAATGTTATTCATTAAAACATACTGTGACTAGCCAAATTTTAAAATTATAATCCCTTTGTCCCAAATTATAGGGCACTTTTGAAGGAATTTCTCCATTCAAAAATAGAAGACACTTTAGGTAAATTAAGGTTTTATTAAATATACCAATTCCAATATCATCCTTTCCCTTAATTAATTTCCGTCCCTTCTATTTTCAATACATTAAATGATGGACATTTTTGAAAGTTTATATTTTTGTTTTGAAAAAATAAGATTGTTGAGTGTATTTAATGAGGCTTATTGGTATATCAGATATTGTCTAAAAGTGTTTATAATTTAGGACGGAGGGAGTAGTAAGGAAAGAATTTGACAACATCAAAAGTATAACTGTAAATTAATACCACCACAGCATTTCATATGTTCCTCAACTATTGTTAGAAATTCACTAACTATTTTTGGATCAACTAACCCTCGAAATGGTTTCAGCAGGAGGAGTACCAAGTAAATCAGTCATCAAATCCAATTGGTGCACCACATTTTTACCGGGAAATAATGGCTTCCCGGAGAGCATTTCCGCAAATATGCATCCGATGCTCCAAATATCAATTCCAGGGGTATACTGCAAAACACAGATTTAAATTAAGCACATTGTTAAATATTTTTAAGTATATGATAGCACCAAAATTTTAGAGAGAGAGAGACAGTTGAGGTAAGCTGCTCAGTGTTAAAGGCTTCAGCAACAGATAATAGACAAGAAACACACACCAACGAACATGAGATATATGTATAGCCATTAAGACAATATAATAATATACTCAAAATGAGGTTTTAGAATAAATAACGATACTTTACATAAAACTATCAATTCATGGCTTATATATGTTCCCTAAATTGTATCTCTGAGCTTTGATAACTACTAAAAAATTACAATGCGGGTCATTGTTCAGCATTCATTTAGATAAACATTAAGCACCACCAAAATGCCAGCCATGTTCCATATATTTGAATACTCTCTAGCACAATATCAATGGAGCATCACTCTACATAATGGAAAAGAACATCATATGAGATGAAGGTAACATGTGAATTTTTTAAATTTAAAAATAAAAATAAGAAGGAAAACCAATGCCATACAAAAAATTCCGTGCATATTGACCATCTATAAAGCAGTTAGAGTTAAAAGACCAACAACTGCATAAAATTCTGCAAGATGATAATTTAATCAACTTTCCATGGCACTGATCAATAGAAACATTCCCACGCTGTTTGGTTATCTTTATAGAGACAATCAACACTGCAAATTATCAGCTGCTAACACAAAAAAGAATATATACACACAAATATATACCTCCATCTATTACATGAGCAAAAACAAGAAAATTTTTGCTGCACCAAATAGACCAAGACACTTACTGTACTACCATGCAAGAGCTCAGAATTGAGCAGCGCTCAACTGAGCAGTGTGATTATTAGGCACACATCATTGATAATACTATGCCTCTACTTTTCTTCACCAAAAGATAGATGATACAAATTTCAGAGGACAATGGCATATCAAAGATAAAAAGCTTACTTTTGAGAAAAAAGAGCCACATAATTCTGGCGCACGATACCACCGAGTTGCAACATAGTCCTTTACAAGAGTATGTAAATTAAATCATCATAAGTTTTTTATAATAATTTCAGGCACAAAGATGAGAGAATTTATTAAAATTCCCCACTAAAAATCCTAAAGGAACGAATAACAATTAATAAAAACATATTGTCATGGTACACCTGGCAGGCTACTTACAGTCCAGAATATAGCAGAAGGCGCATCATTAAAGGAAACTCGAGCAAGCCCAAAATCACATATTTTCAGTTTGCAATCAGCATTGGCGAGAATATTTTTGGGCTTTAAGTCACGATGAAACACATTCGCTGCAAGGAAAATATATAGTATATTATTTCTGTTTCACTGTCTACAGAATCCAAGGATCTAGTCAGAAGGATACCGGAATGTATATATTTCAGGCCTCGAAGAAGTTGGTACAAAAAAAATTGGTGGTGCTCAGGTGTAAGATCATCATTTGCCTTGATTACTTGATGAAGGTCAGATTCCATCAGCTCAAACACAACATAGATATCCTTGAACTCTCTCCTTGAAGGAGGAAGCATTATATGCTTAATTTCTACTATATCAGGATGCCGGAGCAGCCGAAGGAGTTTGATTTCTCTTAGGATCCTTGTGGCATCAGAGACATGCTCAAATACATCATTAATTTTCTTAATCGCAACCCTTTCCCCCGTACGAGCATCAATTGCAGAACCTACGACACCATAACTTCCTTTTCCAATAACTTCTTGGACCTGATATTGGCTTGCCTCTCCATACTCAGTGAAGAACTCTGTTTCTGGAGTGCCCTGTTTGATAACCGTAAAAATTATTAACAAAAATAACACATTGTTGAACTATAAAGGCAGTAAGGAGTACTCAAATATTACAAGTTTATAACAAAATTGAAACTTTCCTTTGACCTACTGTCATTCCTATGGTGTAATATGCAAAACACGCCCAACAAGAACAGTTAGGAGCATAAAGTACGTATATCTAACCCTGTTAGAGAATATGAAATTTCACTACTAAGACCATGAAATGTTATACATCTTCACAAGAGAATAAGAGATGTCACTAATGATAAATAGACACAAAAGAAAGCAGTCGAGCGCTAATAACACAACATCACTGCTATAGTATAAGTGCAGACGAATCAGAATTAGGTTAAACCAACGCCTTTGGTCCATTGCTTGTAAATCGCAACAAAGGATTATCTCTTTTTATTTTTTTACTTTTATTCTTTTTCTAGTCAAATATGAAGCTAACATGGCTTCCTATCCAACCCTTGATCGTGTTGCTGAATGCTACTAGTCCCATCAAACAGCACCAAATAAAAAATTAATCACGATATCTGCTAGCAAGTAATTATTCATTTAACTGAAGCTTACTTCTTTGGTATTTATTTGTTTACCCTTTCTTAAAGCCCCAGACAAAACTTAAGAGTGGATTTTACGATACACTACCAACCAACGAAACGTAACCTAGATTAAAAAATGCACAGTAAATCCAATAGCCAAAATGCCTGAAACCAATATCGTGCACTAGCCAATCGAATCACCAAACAATATAACAACTTGAGAATTTATATTTAAAAAAAAAACAAGAAGAATAAGACCATTGAAGAATCGGATCACAGGCAAAACCCAATAAAACCAGATCCTTCAATCGAAAATAATACGAATAAGTAATCAGAAAGAGAAGAAGGAAAAAGCAGAAAAGAAAACACCTTCTTAGAAGGATCCATAGAAGCAGCTTTGAAGAACGCCCGTGTGGGAACCTTGATATGCTTCAAGCCAGAGATATCAAAATCATCCTCAATCGCGAACCCGTCTTCGGCCTCCTCGCCTTCTTCTCTCTCCTGTCTGGGAATAGTAGCTAATTGAGCGCGTAAATCTCTCACGAGCTTGTGGCTATGGTTGGTACTAGCAATACGATCGGCATTGTGATAGTTATGATCGTGACTAGGCTCGTCATCAGAGGACTTGATTGCAGAAGAAGGTCGACGTTGAAAAAGGCGACGAATCCCGTCCACCAGTGTCGTTCCGCCACCCATATACGCTCTCCTCTTTGGTCGGCTTTGACTAAGTTCCAGTCCAATCCAGCATTGCCCCCCCCCCTCTCTCTCTCTCTCTCTCTCTTCTCTGTTAACTTAGATTCTACTTGGGTTTTCTATATTGATGACTGATTTTGTTTTCACTGTCCCGACGAGCGCGGAAGAAAATGGAGCCAGAAAAAAAAAATCGACCAGAGAGTGGGGGAGTGGGGACTGGGGAGAGAGAGTTAGAGTCTAGAGAGAGAAAGATGACAAAGATAGCGCCGCGTTTGGTTTTCAAAGACCCACCCTTTTCTTTCCCTCGGCGTATAAAATGCTTAACTATAATGGCCGCACGTTGTCCTCGATTCGTTCGTTCGTTCGTGTCATCTTTACACAAGGATTGGTCGTGCTAATGTTTTTCTCTATGTTCCAATTCGTGAGATTTCTCCAAGGGACCGCGTTTTTCTCAAATACAAATACAAAGATTTACAGTTATTAATATCAGAAGAATTTTTCCTTGTATAATTGGATTTTACATTCGTCACGTACTCCCTGTCATTAAATAATTAACTTTACCAGAATTAATTAAAATTAAAATAATAATTAAAAATAATTGGTTGGAAAACACAAACATCGATCTCTATAATTTCATTAAGTTTTATTTTTAATTTTTATAATTTTTTATTTTTTAATCCTTCAATAAGATTAAGTGACGTTTATTATTAAAATCCTTATAATTTTATTGTTTTCACACTAAAAAATTATAAAAACTAAAAACAAAATTTAATAAGATTACAGGGAATGATAAAAGGCTATCATTATTTTCTAAAATTATTTTTCAATTAAAATCAATCTATCTTGATTATATTTATTCTCACCAATATTTAGATTTACACAGACATTTTTGCTTCCGCTTCGTCCATTACCGCTGGCTCTTGTCCTTTCCTCTAAAGCAAAACGATCTGCTATAGATGCGGTTTTACAACCCACAACTTTAGTTGATTGCTTAGCCTCATTCATTTTATAGACTCAAGATCACCCAAGATTTATTATGCACTCTTTCATTTTAGTGAATAATCATACATTTTTTGTCAATGATAGAAAACTTCATACATTTTGAACGAGTTGTAGTATCAATTATGTAACCTCTCTTTCATTAGATGATAATACGTGGATTTTTTTTTTTTTGCAAGATAAATATTTATAATTAATGTGCGAGCGACGGCGACTCAATCTTGAAGATTATTTTAATTTAGTGGTAAATAAAGGTATGGTTTTCTTCATATAAAATAGCAGCCAGATATTAAAATATAATATCCAGCCATGATTTGATGCCCAAAACCATGGTCAAGCTGTCCATGACGTACAATAATAAATGAACGCTTCGATCTTTGATGCGACATTCACTCCTATTATATTCCTGTTGGATCATAACTAAGAAATCAGGCTAACCAAATAGTAGAATTAGGAAAAATTTCACCCCCATCTAACAAAATTTATTAATAGAAATACTTTAAAAAAAATAATAATTATATTTTAAAAAATTAAAAATATTTTAATTTTTTAAATATCTAACTCTTTAAAAAATATTTTATTTTTAAATAAAGAAGGTAAAATTTATTATTTAAAAAAATTAATAAATTTTTAAATTTATCCTTATTAATAACATATTTTCTTGCGTCCGATCTATAAAAAAAAATAGAGATTTTTTGGTCCTATTCATACAAATAATAAGTTACATGATTAAAATTTTATTATAAATTTTTCCTATTCACCTCTCATTAAATGTTAGTAAGAAAAAATATACTATTAAAGTATCTACACTTAATAAAAATAAAATTAAAAAAATTATTAAATCTTCAAACAGGATTAATGAATTTTGAGGCTTTTCTTAAATGCGAGGAAATATATTGGAAATAACTTGTAGATAAAATCAAGTAAAATATTCTCTCTCACTAACATATAATAGGAGTAAAAGGATAAATTTATAAATAGGTCTAAAAAATTATTTTTCTTTTTCTTTATAAATATGATAGGAGAAATTAGTGTCTTTTTTTTTTATGCATTCCTCCTGTCTAAATTGTAAGACACTCCCTGACATATTTCACATATTAATAAAATAGTTATTTTCATTAAAAAAATGACATGTTTTTTCCTTCTTCACCGTTAATCCCTTTAGAAGTTATAATTCTCCTTTTTAAGCAAACCCGCGTCTAAAAAATTGAAATTTGAGGATTTAAATAATATAAATTATTTGTTAGATTTAGTGTAATATGTAAGACATCCATCGTTATATCTTTCAATCATTTCATGTTTCAGATTCTATTTATAATTAACTTTTAACATATTTTATTTAAATTAAAAAAATTAAAATTTATTAACTATATTTAAAAAATAAATAAAATTTTAAATTTATCTCTATTAAATTTATAGCTTTAATAATGCATTTTCTTTTATCAATATTAACTGAATCTCACCTCCAATAAAACAGTTACTTATTTTTAAACTAACCTATTTTTCTTATATTTATCTTTATTAAACACCTTATAATAAATATAAAGTCATTTATTAATAGGAGCACTTTTTGAAAAAAGACAATGGTTATACCTCAAAAAATTAAAAATATCTTACATTTTTTTAATATCAAGCTCCTAAAAAAATGTCATATATTTTTTAATAAAGAGAGTAATAAATTTGATCAAAAAATTATAACTGGGGTGAGCATGTAACTAATTACTCCCTGATGTCTATTTTATAAGAAATATTTATTAACAAATTTTATGTAGATTAAGAAAACTAGCCAAAATTTTTCAGTTACTCTCATTGAATTAAATATGTTGATATTTTCAATCATTTTTTTTGAAAATTACCCTTCCCCAATACTGTTAAGTTATGTAGTTTTGTATCTTTCTACGTGCTTAAGGGTATTTAGGAGAAAACAAGAAACTAGTGCTTCCAAAAAAATTGTAAAATCTCTTTTTAATTAAATGTAAGGCATTTTTAAAAATGTGTAAAAATGTAAAACTAATACACCTTCCATTCAAAAATATAAGGTATTTTTTAAAAAATTGAATGTTAAAAAATGTAAGACATTTTTAGTCTTTTAAGGTGTAATTTGTAACATCCCAATATAAATTTTAATAGTTAATTTGGGTTAATAGAAAATTAAAAAAAAAATAATTAAAAAAATAAAAAAAATAATAATAAAATAATATTATTAAATTATTATTATAATAAAAAAAGGTGTAAAAACAAGAAAGAAAGGAAGAAGAAGAAGAAAACGAATTTGCTTCGTCCGCCGCCTCAACAGTAACGGTAATAAAATAATAAAAAAAAAAGAAGAAGAAGAAGAAGAGAGAAAATAATTAAAAAAATGTGGGACCCACTGAATTTTTATAAAAACTCACCTGTTCCTTCATTTCTTCATTCATTCTTTCGTGCGTGAGCTTCGGCAGAGAGAGCATCTGTGAGCCAAATTCACCGGTGCAGGGTTTTAAGGTAAGAGTTTTTAATAGGATATTTAGAATGTGATTTTAAGCTTTTCAAGACTAAGTAAGTGTTCTAAAAATTTTTCTTAGTCATCCTTCTTATTTAGTTTTTGAGTTTGTAGTGGTAGAAAATTTAAGATCTGGAAGAGGGATGAATTTATGTTGAATAAATATGATTTTTGAGGTTGTCAGTAGTATAATAAATGTTCTAGAGTATAAATTTATTGATGATCTTTGAATTTGTGGCTTATGGATCAAATTCTAGACTAGATCTGAAAATATATGTTAATTTATTGAGGTTTAGATGATTATTTGGGATGAGAAATGAATTATTATGGCTATAGGATTATGATTCTAAGCTAGAGACTTAATTTTTAATTTTTGAGTATTTTAGGTACGAATTTATGAAATAAAAAGAAAATTTTGATAATAAAAATTAGTTTAGAAGTTGATTTTTAGATTATTAATGTTTATTGATAATTAAAAGAGGAGTTAAAAATTATACTTAATAGTATTAACTATAGATTTGTATTAAGATTGAGATTAGGAATTATGTTATATTTTAATTCTATTATTAGAATTATTTTATTAGTTTCAAAAATTGAAACTAATATTTATAAATAATATGTTATTTGTAGATTGTATTACTGGTGAAGATTGTGGTGAGAGAGAAATTTTAAGGAATAATTTATTGAAAAAGCCACAAGGTAACCATGCTTTTAATTTGTGATTAGTGTTACTTCTTGTTAATTGGGTGATTATTGAGAAAATTATGAATTTTGTAATATTGTATAATTGTGCAATATTATTATAAATTTATTTGATTATTGTGGGAGGTGTTGGGAGACTTGCTATTGTTGTTGTATTTATGTGCCACGTGGTACGCCCCTATTGGAGCTCAATAGGTGGCTTGTAAGGGCTCGGGCTAATCTACCTTTGGCCGGGTAATTTAGCACCGAGTGAGGGCTACGGCTCGAGGTTAATGAAGGGATATAAGGATGGTTGTTTGTGTTTATTATAATATTCCTTATATTTGTTGGAATTATATTATTTTTAATTCTCACTTAGTAAGCACACACTTAACTGTTTGTATACACTATCATAAATTGGCTTTGGTTACTGGGACTTTTGAGTCTCATTATGTGGTTAACAATTTTCAGGAGAAGAGCCACGAGTGACACGTGGAGGAGTCCCAGAGACTTAGTGGTATAGATCCACTGTCTCTTTTGGGTATTTAATTTATGATTTATAATGTGTTATATTGTCAATATTAGGGCTTTTTGTTTATTGTCAATTATATGAATATATAAATGTAATCATGCCTTTCAAACTATTTCTATTTTTAGTACAATTTGGATGACTGTAATTTTAATATTTGGTTTACTTTGGATTGGTTAAAATGGCATGATTATAAGGCCAAATAACTGGCTTGTATTGAAAATTGACTAAATTGCTTATTTTACTTGTTGGGAGTATAAGGATGGACAAATGTGATTTAGCCTAATGGCATGTGGGAGGTAAAAATTTATCTGAAATGTTATAGTGTGTGAGTTGAAGCCAATTATAAAATATTTTATATCAAAATTATTGATATAAAAATGTGTTGGGTGGCTGTAACCCAACTATGGTTGAGTTAAATTATTAAAAAAAAATTTGGTGTGTTACATAATCATTGCCTTTTTTTAAAAGTGCCCTATTGATAATGACTTTATATTTACTATTGGGTGTTTAATGGGAATAAATATAAAAGGATGGAATTAGTTGAAAAGTAGGTAACTATTTTATTGAAAAGTGAGATTCGATTAAAA